CCTTTTATGTTCTTCGGAGCCTGTATGAAGCTCCACGTTTCTCCTACCACCAGCAGACCACTGACACATGCTGAATGAAAACTGACCCGGGTCGCAGTTGCTCTCATAGACGATGGCGTACGTTCTGCTCAGCGTTGCAGTGCCGCAGAGTTGCGTGCTGTGCTTTTACAGTGTGCTCAGACTGCTTCTAGCTAGCTTCTTCTAGGAAGATCAGTCCCACGTGCATGTGTGCAGTCAAACACGCGTTGCTGTTTTGTGACCGCGTAGTTTGAAATGAAGCTGGAATGTTTAAAAAGCCGCACAGCAGTAGCACAATGCATGGCCGGAACCGTAAGGTTCCCGTTAACAGGACTCTGTTTTTTTTTTTTTCCTCAAATGTAAATACCATACAGCTCCTCTTCTTATAGTATAACCTCAATGTAGATTTTTGCCAGGTAATAAAGGTGGGGAATTAAGGCAACAAATAGTACTCTCTGTATTAAAGTGCTTTTCATAATTATCCAAAAAAATGTGCTACAACTAGCACTGATGTTTTCCCCATCTTGTTTCCTCATTAATTTTTCAGGTTTTTACGTGTAATGTTCAAATTGTTTAATAACCACTAGTATCCCCTGCAGGCCACGTGGTTTCTATTTTACCATACTAGCTACACTCTTAACCAGCCCCCCCTCCTCCCTCCCGAGCTATATTAACGTTGCTGAATAACAGAGTATCTCAGTCAGAGCTTTTATCCTGTTACTGATTTGTAGCAATAGCGATATTACTGAAAGTTTAAAGGGCCCCAAGCAAGAAATAGAGGGTTCATCTTTTCATTATTAAAAGCTTTCCCTGTAAATGTTGCTTGATGCGGTTCATTATATATTAATGAAAGCTGGAGAAAAGTTGCATTTGAATTTTCAGGGAATGCAATTTAAAAATAATCCACCGCAAAAGGCGAAAGAGAGGAATCACACTCCTCCGTGTGTCGGCTTAGTTCTGCCTCTTCTGATTGAAAAAGAGCCTTCGTCGAGTCTTTGCGTTAATGGCGGACGTGATGACTTGGCATGCCGACGGCGAGACGTTTTGCCGTGGATGAGTTGAGCCCGCAGTGACGGTGATTTAACTTCTTCCACCGTCACACCTACAGTGTAAATTTCAAATTGAGAAGGTGTTAACTGTGATATTCAGGGGGACGAGTGGTTGGTGCTGCTCTGCAGTTCGTTGTGTTTTAGACACAGAATTCTCAGACTTGGTTGATGATTATAAAACATCGTTGCATACGGTAAGCTCGGTTTTCCTTTACAGATTAATTGTCTCTTCATGGGAGAATTTTCCTGTGATGATTGTTCAGTTATGTAAATCATGGGGGGTTGCATGGTTTACGCTCGTTTTCTATTGACTGCTCATATCAGTGCTCCAAACGTTTCAGCATGTTTTTCCTGATAAATGTGAGCAGTTTGAATGTAAACCACCACAAGTCACACGATAAGTCGTGTTGCCGTCAGACTGACTGTCCGTTGGCCGACGATGGTTGTCTTTATGTGATTTGAGACATTTGAATCATTCAAATCTTTTGACTGTTTGACTTGCCACCAGCAATTAGGGCTACGTGACCTGAGTAACTGAGATATTATCAGTGCATATACTTGTGTTTTGTTTGGGTTTTTTTTTCCCCCTTTTTTGTTGCATTGATTATTGTTTGATGTTCTCACACTTTTCATAATCAGTGTCTTCATCATGCAAGGGTTTTGATTGAGAATAATAAACTTGTGAGTTAGGATGAATTTTCTTCAGCTTCACTGCAGGAATAAAGACATATTATTCTGTCTTTCAAGATGAGCTTTAGGGACTTGAGATGAAATCTACGATGTTCACAGAGGTGTAGTTGCCGTCCCTTGGCACTCCAGTCCCCCAGAAACACCACCAGATATCTTTTTATTTTATTTTTTCTTTTAAGAGTTAGGATTGTATGATGTGTAAGAGTAAGTATAAACAATAAAATCACAAAGTTTATTTTAATTTACACTTGTCGTTTGTATTTATTTGTCTTAATGTATGCTAAATAAATACTCATTTTAAATCCAAGCTCCTTGCACTCTGCTTTAGAAGAAAACCTCAGTATTTTACTGTGATACAAGCTGCATGTGGAGATGTGGAAATATACGCGTTTTTACAGCTAATGTAGTTGTGCTGTTATCACCACAGCGGGAAAAGCGTATTTAACTGTTATGAATGACTTTTCTATGATTTTTCACATTTTTGTAAAGCCATCAAGTGGGCCAGTTCGTAGCCTTTGGAGGTCTTGTTCTGATCTTTCTGCAGTTTGACAGCCCTGCCCTAAGACATAGGGGCGCCACAGGTCAATAAAGGTTATCACCTTTATCCATACTACTTTCAGATCTCCCAGAATGCTTCTGTCTATAGAACAAGGGCTTACTTTGAGTATAAACATGCCTCTGCACTCATAAAATCATTCCCAGGTCAACACGTACAACACCAAAACACAGAATGAGGAAATATCTTTTGAAGGAATGACTCAAAGGGGCGGAATGACAGGAATGACACCGGGGGCGGTCGCGGCTCAAAGAGTTGGCAGTTCGTCTTGTAACCGGAAGGTTGCCAGTTCGAGCCCCGGCTCGGTCGTTGTGTCCTTGGGCAAGACACTTCACCTACCGCCTACTGGTGATGGCCAGAGGGGCCGATGGCCGATATCCATTATTATTATTATTATTATTATTATCAAAGCCTTTCTCTAGCACATGGAGACCACGTTAATTTTTTCATTTATTCTGTTATCTGTCTGAATAATATCAGTTTGATATAGGATATTCCTGTGTTATTATGTATAATTAAGCCCGTTTATTTACATGTATAAGATATCCATCCTACTTCCATCATGATTTAGTCATTAAAGTTAACAATTACAAGTTACATTCTAGGCAGTAGCTTTGTTGTTTGATGTCATCCAGTGTTTAATAAAGGGCAAAAAAAAAAGTTAGACCTCCTCTCGGGGCCCTGTGGGTTTGTACTGATGTGCCTAATGGACCTTAAGATAAGATAACTCTTTATTGTCATTGCACAGTCGTACATAGTACAATAGTCCAATGAAATTGGAAAACTGTCCTACGTCGACACTACATATAACACAACATGACCCGATACGACACATCACAACGCAACACAAACAACACAACACAGTATAATAACTTAGTAATAAAAATAAGAATAAGTGTATTTGTATTACATACTGTTATTATTGCACCTTGTTATAAATATAAATATTATTATTGTTACTGTTTTTACCATTGTTACCTCCCCCCCAAAAAAAGTCCAGGTAGGTAGCCAGTCAGGTCAGCTATTTGCATTGATTAGGGCTATTGCCCTGTTGTAAAAGCTGTCCTTGAGTCTATTTGTTCGGGACCTCAGCAGCCTGAACCTCCTGCCAGACGGCAGCAGCTTAAACACCCGGTGTCCTGGGTGTGTACCGTCCCGTAGGATGCTGCGTGCCCTCTTGAGACAGCGAGTGCTGTACAGGTCCTTCAGGGAGGGAAGAGGATATCCAATGATTTTTTTGGGCCATATTGATGACCCTCTGGAGTGCCTTTCTGTGTGAAACTGGAGACCTTTTCCACACACTCGCCATTGATGCTGACAGGCTACAGCTCAGACTTCCTCCTTCTGAAGTCAACTACCAGTTCTTTTGTCTCGGTGGTATTGAGGTCCAGGTTGTTATCTACACACCAATCTGACAGCCTCTGAACTTCAGCTCTGTACGACGTCTCATCTCCCCCTGAGATGAGCCCCACCACGGTGGTATCATCTGCAAACTTGATGACTGTGTTGTCTGGGTGGGTACTAGCACAGTCATGTGTGTACAGAGTGTACAGTAGGGGACTCAGTACACAGCCTTGTGGAGAGCCGGTGTTAAGGCTGAGGGCTGAGGAAAGATGAGGCCCCACTCTAACTCTCTGTACACGGTTTGAGAGGAAGTCTCTGATCCAGCTGCAGGTGGTAGAAGGAAGTCCGATTTCCAGCATTTTAACTATTAGTCTGTCCGGGAGTATCGTATTGAAAGCAGAGCTAAAGTCAACAAAGAGCAGCCTGGCGTAACGGCCCTGCACTTCCAGGTGAGAGATGGTGGTGTGGAGCGTTGTAGCAATGGCATCTTCAGTTGATCTGTTAGCTCTGTATGCGAACTGGAGCGGGTCGAGTGTGGGTGGCAGGCAGGACATGATGTGACGTTGGACCAGTTTCTCGAAGCACTTCATTATAACAGGTGTTAGAGCAACTGGTCGGTAGTCATTGAAGCTCCATCATGGGCCTCTGATGGATTCATTTCTAATCCTGTCCATCCTGCTCACTCACAGAGAAGATCTCAGTATCTTCAGCTCAGCCCCCAATTTTTGTCTCCAAACCACATGACAGCAAGTCTCACTGCCATCTTATAAATCTTCCCTTTGGCTCTTGCTGCTATCCTCCCCTCATAAATCACCCCGACACTTGTCAGTTCCAGTGCAAAGGTGAATCTCTCAAAATCTGTGCAAAAATAACTGAGGTAAAGGTGTGGGTATGCAGGGCTGTTTTAACAAGGCTATGGATATTTATGTAGGATGGCCTACATAGCAGGTTGTAAAGCTGACATTTCTCTTGAATAGATGGTAAAGGTGGCTCCTGAGC